TGGGTGGTATCAGAGCTCTCATTAAGCCCAACATCGTTCATTTGGCTAGTCTCTCATGCAGGCCTCAGACAATGAGAAAGGGGTGCTGTTGGTGCCAATAGGCCTGGAGAGACTGCATACTCTGGAGGGTTGGGAGCCCTGCCAGAGTGGGACCTTGAAACCTGCAAAAGGACCTCAGAGGTTTCAGTTTCCTAGACTTTCAGAGCTGGAAGGGGCTTCACAATTCAGCAAATTCCCCTCCCTCTTTTGTACAGATGGTGGAACTGAAGCTGGGGAAGGGGAAGTGGTCACAAAGCTGGCAGGTAGCGGAGCCGGCTGGCCTGGAGATATGAAGCCAGATTCTGGCCAATGCAACTGCAACGGACTCTGCTCTCCCCTGCTCCTCCCCTCCCTTGCTCTTCACTGCTGAAGCCACAAGTCCTGAGGGAAGGACCCGGGTTCCATGCTCTGGAGCCAGAACCTCCCTCTGTGCCTTGAGGTCTCTGTGGAGATTCTGGCTCTACTGGCAGGAAGTAGGGCAGGAAGGTGAGTGTACTGATAGACTATTGCTCAGGTCTACACTTGGAGTGACCATGGAGATGCCCTCCCTGGGACCTGAATGTCAAATCACATAGAGGGGAGCTGAACCCCCTACTCAGTGTAGACATAACAGATAGTCCAGGTAGTCAGGAGGAGGCTGGGAAGCCCAAGTTACCAAGAGGACTGGGGCCTAGTCCCATACCAATGCCATCGGTGCCTGATCCCCACACCACATGCACTCTATGTCATAATCTTCTGTCCTCATTGGTGTTTTGGAAGGCAGTGAGCCCAGGGGTTAATTGTGCAGTCTGTGGAGCAAGACTTTCTGGGTTCACACCCCTGTTCTTCCACCTTACTTGCCGTGTGATTTTGAGTAAATTATATACCTCTCTGTGCCTTAGTTTCCCCATCTTAAAAAAAGGATGATGATAGCGTCTATGTCATGAGTTTGGGAAGCACACAAGGTCTGTGTGATTGCTAACTATCATTATTGTGTTTATTTTGTACACTCCATCAGATAGGATGCTTCCTAAAGCAAGCCCATCAGATTAGGGGTTCCTGGAAGGCAGAATGGTACTCTATGTCCCCATAGTTAAGCTGTTTTTCTTCCTATTTTCTTTTCTTTTTTTTTTTTTTTTAGAGAGAGAGAGAGAGAGAGAGAGAGAGAGAGAGAGAGAGAGAGAATTTTTTTTAAGAGAGAGGGAGAGAGAATATAGAGTCATAGAATAGTAATTTTAAAAATATATTTATTTTTTAGTGATCTGCAGACACAACATCTTTGTTTTTATGTGGTGCCGAGGATCGAACCCAGGCCGCACGCATGCCAGGCGAGCACGCTACCGCTTGAGCCACAGCCCCAGCCCTCTTCCTATTTTCTAAGAGCCCAATGTATGCTTCTCAGAGGTTTTTGAAGTTGTACCAACACTCTGAGCAACAAGCCAATGAGGGTGTGAGGTGTAGAAGAGGCCTGGAGCCCGTTGCGGGGGGCTAGGGGGAGAGGTTCCTTCATCTGTGAATTAGAAGTAGCTAGCATCTTCCCGGCCCTCAGGAGCCAGGGAGAAGCAAGGCTGCTGCCGTCGCCGACTATGTGTCTGTGAGTGGTGTATTGGTGGTGGTGCTGCTTGATTTTCTATATTAGCCCTGAGCTGGGAAGGAGAGCTGAGTTTTGCCTTTCAGAAGGTCCTAGTCAGAGCTCCCAGTCCCTAAGGAGGCAGCAGTTGGGTAGAAGAAACCAATAACCAGCACCTGTACCTGTACCCAGCTCCTTGAGTTCCAGAGCCCTTGCCTCATTTTCCCTCTCAACCATCCTGTGAGAGTAAGCCTCAATATTTTCTTTTTCTCTGTGTGTGTGGTACTAAGGATTGTACCCAAATCCTTGCACATGCTAGACCAGCACTCTACCCATGAGCTTCATCCCCTAGCCCTCTTTATAAAAATATTTATTGTGGAACAGGTTATCACCAAGTTGCCCAGGAGGGCCTCAAACCTGTGAGCCTCCTGCTTCAGCCTTCTGAGTGGCTGGGGAGAAAACCCAGAGCCTCAAACACACCAGACGACTGAGCTAAACGCACCCCCTCACCAGCCCTTATTTTTCTTTCAACAAAGGATGAAAATAACCCTTTATGTGGACAATACCTGTGATCCTAGTGACTCTGGAGGTAAAGCAGGAGGTTTGCAAGTTCAAGGCCAGCCTGGGTAACTTAGCAAGAACCCTGTCTCAAAATAAAAAGGGCTAGGGATTTAACTCAATTGGAGGGCATTTGCCAAGCATGGGTTTGATCCTCAGTACTGGGGAAAAAAGAAAATAACCCCTCAAGATATTAAGAGGGAGATCTAAGATCACACAGCTAAGTGGCTATGCTGCAACTGAACCCAGGTTCCCTGATGCCTTGCTCAGATACCACAGGCTTAGATGGGGACACTAAACCTGATCTTCTGAGAGTTTCCTTTGTTGGGGGTGTGGGGAGATAAAAGTCCTGTCACCAGGGATCTCCAGCCACTAGGGAAGTTAGTTTCCGATAGGAAGGGATGGAGGTAAAAAACATTTGGGGTCTACTATGTGCTGGGTGCTTTGAACAGTTCTTTCTCTTTCTCTTGCTGCAAAGTTCCATTTTCAAGACAAGGCCTGAAGCTCAGGAGCTTAAGTAACTCTCTACCGTGTTCCTAGTGACAAAGCTGGGATTAGAACCCAGTGCAGTCTGGCCATGCTGACACCCATAATTTTTCCTCTAGCATGAAAGTTGTGGCCCCAGAGCCACCTCCTCAGCAAAGGCTTTCCATGCTCTGAGTGTAAAATTGACCACTTATGCCGTGGGTGCCCACAGTTCCCTATGTAAACATCTCTCCGGACATGTGTGCACCTCTTAGACTTATTTTATTTACACACCTGACTTCTGTCACTAGGCAGTGAGCTCCTTTAGGCACAGAGTAGTCTTGTGCCAAGACAGAGCACAAAAGTCACGCATCATAGGTACTCAGTAATTGTGGGTTGCATGAATGGTGGGAAGTGCTTGGAAGGCCTCCTCCTGTTATTCTCCTGCCTCTTTGGAACGACCCCACCCCAGTGATGGTGGGGTGGGGTGAGGAAGATGCTGAAGGATGGACTGGGGGCCGGGGAGGTGTTGTGTCTGAGGTGTGGGCATCAGTCTCACCTGGATACCTGTCCAGATTTTTCACCCTTGTGGGCACTCATGCTCTATCCTTGGCATGCCTCTTGGCTCCGTCCAGCCTCTTCTCATCTTGCCTCCGGCCTCAGGACCTTTACCTTTCCTGGGTTCATCTAGGGGACAAGTCTAGCATTGGGATCAGAATAATTTTTCTTGGTCCATTTTATTTTCACAAGAGTTTTAAGGGGTGAGAAGGGTGGAGATGACTTACCTCATTTTTACAGAAAGGGACAGTCAAACTCCAAATCCATCCATTAAATTGTGGCAGAACTGGGTCCAGTGATAATGGAGGGGGATGGGGCAGAGGGGAAGTTTTCTGAAACAGGTACAGTTTGGGTTTCCCTCAGGAACTTGAGGAACCAGGCTCTATATGCCCTTCTCCAAGGCAGACAAGGTAGAAGGGACCCCACATTCTCTATGTGATGGGACAGAGAAAATCCTAGACTCTTGTTCCTGGCTGTGACTCCACAGCCCTTCTGCAGTCTCCATGGCTGCCAGTAGGTGCCGTCAGTTTGCAACTTTTTGATTTGTCCTACAGGTCCATTCCCAGGCCCTCTCTTCTCCAATCACCCCAGTTGTCTGCAATTGCAGAAAGTAGGTGGCCCAACTCCTGTGAGGAGGAAAGACCCCTGCTCTGGGAGAAGCAGCAGAAAGGGGGTTCTTTGTACTTCAGCTTGGCAGTTTTGCAGGTTTCTAGGCCAAGCTAAAAATAATTGACAGTGGGCCACTAATGATGCCTGGACAGGCCCCCTTCCCCTAAAGTCAACTCCAGGCTAGCAGGAGCCTTTGTGAGGGAGGAAGGGTGAGTATTAGGGCACCAGAGAAGGAAGCTAGGAAATGAGTGAGTTTCTGCTTCAAATGCTATTCTAGACTTCCTCCCAATCCTAGCATTGGGGCAAGGGTAGGAGATACTGGCACCAATAAGATTTCAAGGAAGGGTGAGCCAGCCCTGACACTAGCCCAAAGAGTGGCACTAAGTGAATTATAAAAGGGCACCTCTTCCTCAAAACCTTGACTGCCATCTGCTGGGAAACCGTCACAACAGCTCTACAAATAAACAATGACTACAAGGAATGGTGCCCCCTGGAGTTGTTCAAAACACAGCTTGTACTTTGCAAGTGGTGATCTCCCAGGCCAATCTCTCTCCAGAGCCCATGTGGGCAGTAGAGGCAAACATCCAGGAAGGAGGAAGAGGCTTGGCACCTCTCTCCATGATTTGGGTTGATTCCATCCTGGGGAGGCAGGGTGGACCAGGGCCCAAGTGAACCCTGGGGAGACTTAAGGGGGAAGGTTCCCAGGGGGCAAGTGGGAAGAGAGCCTATTAGCGTCTTAGGGTCACCAGGCCTTTCCATGACCCTTGTTGCCCATATGCCTTGCACCTTGCTCCACCTCACCAGTCCAGTGGTGGAGACTGGAAGTACTGGGGAAGGGTGGAAAGGACTCTGGTCAGGGAGAAGAAATAAGCCGACCCCGGAGTCGGCTAGGAGGCCAGGTTCTCTTAAGGTTAGGGAGGTATCTTCCGAAATCGGGGAGGGAGCCAAACAGCAGCACCTTCGTTTCCCCTCTTCCTGCCTCCCCTCCCCAGCTCCAGTTCAGAGGCGCACTGGGCGCTTGCCACCTCTTCCAAACTGCGCCGCTTCCTTCTACGGTGCAAAGGACTTTCAGATGTTGCAGCGGCGGCGACTCAGGACAGCGCCCCCTCCCCCTGACGGCCGCCTCTCCCTGCCCCCCTCGCCCGCCCGGGCTCCCCCACCTCGGGGAAGGCGCTGGGGGTGTGGCCAGGGGCCGGTATAAAGTCCTGGGAGCTGGTCCCGGGCAGCCGCTCAGCCCCCTGCCCCCAGCCGCCCGCCTTCTGCCTGGGCCGGGCCGAGGATGCGGCGCAGCGCCTCGGCTGCCAGGCTCGCTCCGCTCCGGCGCGCTTGCTAACTTCCCTCGGCTCTGTCATTGCCCGCCAGCCGGGCCGCCCCGTTTCCCCGCGCTCTCCGCGCTCTCCGGGTGGGGTCCTCCAGGCGCGTCGGGCGCTGCCGCCGGGTACCCACGCTTCCCGCCCGCGTGCCCGCGCTCTCCGCCTGCGCCCAGCGCCCGCTCCAGGTCCTCGCGCGGTCATGCTGCCCCTCTGCCTCGTGGCCGCCCTACTGCTGGCCGCAGGGCCCGGGCCGAGCCTGGGCGACGAAGCCATCCACTGCCCGCCCTGCTCCGAGGAGAAGCTGGCGCGCTGCCGCCCCCCCGTGGGCTGTGAGGAGCTGGTGCGGGAGCCCGGCTGCGGCTGTTGCGCCACTTGCGCCCTGGGCTTAGGGATGCCCTGTGGGGTGTATACTCCCCGCTGCGGCTCGGGCCTGCGCTGCTACCCACCCCGTGGGGTAGAGAAGCCCCTGCACACGCTGATGCACGGGCAAGGCGTGTGCATGGAGCTGGCGGAGATCGAGGCCATCCAGGAAAGCCTTCAGCCCTCTGGTAAGATGCCTACCCTCCCACACCCTTCCCAGTGCACTCTTTCTCAGTAACTTATTTCCAATTCATGGCTGGCTTGGAAGGCCCTTGAAAATCCCCTGTGAATTGAGGCGCAAGCAGGTACGTGGCAGGGCCCGACTGGCATGGGACAGGATCAGCCAAGGAAACTGCTCCTGAATTCCTAGCTGTAATTGCCACCATCAAGGGGAACTTTGTCTCATCCCTCCATCTCAAACATCCCAGGGGTGCCTATTTGTTTTTTTTCTTTAATTTAATTTGTGTGTGTGTGTGTGTGTGTGTGTTTGTGGTGGGGGGCTGGGGATTGAACCCAGGGCTTTGTGCATGCATTCTATCACTGAGTTACATCCCCAGTCCGCAGATGTGACTATTTGGGAAGAAGGGTCTCAACGATAGGCCTGGCTGCTGATGCAAGAGTGGAAAATCAAGTGACTTCATCAGGTCAAGTCAGCCGTCTAGGTTCAGAAAACTGGGGGACGGAATGGGGTGTCTATGGGGGTTGGGGGCAGCTTTCTGTTCCTGATCCAGAGGCCACCCCTCACTCTTGCCACAGGTAACGTCACCCCTCCCTCAGTCTGAGGAACCAGGACATGGACTTCGTCATCCTATAGTGGGGTGGGTTGTACAAATCATAGGGACTTTGATGGTGAGGGGCATCAGACTTGCCCTTTCCCAAAACCCTGAGCTCCTTTCTCTTGCTTATTGAGTGGAAAGACAAGGGTCTTTCTGCCAGACCCTGGCAACTCTCCCTGCCCTGGTATGCAGGATCTCTACTCTTTTCTCCTGGCAGGTGCCATCTGAGGTGGCAGAAGAGAAGTTTTGGCTCCCAGCCCAGAATTGCAGAAACCTTAGGGGCATGGGATAGGGAATAGAGGAAAGGGGGAGTGAGAGAGAAAGAGAGAAGACAGAAGACTCTGAGAAGACCCACTGCCCCAACCTCATTCTTACACTTTCTCTTTGTCCATTTCTCGGTTGGCCATTTCCAGTTTCTCCTTAGAATCCTTCTCAGTCTTTTTCCTTCCTTCTCTTGTTCTTTTGTTGTTTCCTGCCGTGCCTCTCGGCTTCTAGTTTCGCCATTACAATCTTTTTTTTTTTCTTCTCTTTCCACATTTCTTATTGGTGCATTATAGTTGTACATAATGGTGGGATTTGTTGTTACATATTGGTACACGCACACAATATAATAACAGAATTGTCCAGTACTGCTCCCCAGGAACCCCTCCCCCCACCCCTCACCATAGTATTCATTTTTTTAAAATATATTTTTATTTGTAGATGGACACAATACCTTTATTTTATTTTTATGTGGTGCTGAGGATTGAACCCAGTGCCTCCCACATGCCAGGCGAGCGCTCTACCACTGAGCTACAGCCCCAGCCCCTCATCATAACATTCTGAAGTTCTCTTTTCACAATGTCTTCTGTGCATTATCAGTTTCTTTCCCTTTCTCCACATTGTTCGGTTTTCCTGCTTCTCTGACTTTTGCCTCTCTGTCTCTGTGTCCCTTACCATGTCTGCCTCTTGTCTTTCTGATCTCTGCTTTTTCGCCTCTCTGCCTCTGGTTCTCCTTCCCTCTCTGATTGTTTTGCTCTCCCTGTGCCTCTCTGCGCCTGTCCCTTTTCCTGGTGCTTGAGGCTTCCATTGTTGCAGTCCGGATGCTGAGACTCTGGCCCCAAGCTTCCTGCCCTGGGTCCCAGACCGCTTCACTTCCTCAATCCTCTGTAGCTTGTTAGCTGGAGGAGAGCAGGATGCAGGGAAAACAGGAAGGAGGTGGACCCCAGGGGTCTGGGCCTCCAGCCTTTCTGCCCTTCCTGCCCCTGGGCAGGGAGAGATGGGTCAGCAGAAAACCTTCTAGGGGAAATGCCAGCCTGACACCCAGCACTCCTGGGGTGGGAAGTCCTGGGGGAGTAAGTCACTGATTTGGAGACAGAGATGCCAGTGGCAGTGAGAATAGGAGTGAGGGCTGAGCCCCTGGGTTCCCTGAGTACAGCAGGGCCACTTCCCTTTGAATTTCCATCTTCCACCAGCCAGTGGGTAACTGGCAGCAGATAAGGATGGCTGGTGGCTCCTTTTCTCTCATCAACTTGAACATAAAGCAGAAGAGCCTTCTGAGGGTCTTCTTCTCTGACTGGGTAGGAGAATCCTAGAGGAGGAAAATCTGATTCTTCAGGGGATCAGGGAGGGCATGGCATGGACAGTTTGTGATTGACATGTGAACATAATGCAAACCAGCCTTGAGAGATGTCTAGGAATGGAGTGGCTTTAGATCCCCTTTGGAAAACAGAGCCCAGGTCTCTGATGGCCTTGTCCTCCAGCATGTTGTACATGCAAACACATAGAGAGGGGAAAAGAATCAGAAGGACCCAGGGGAAACTAGGTACATAACAACAAGCTCTGCCCATGCCCTCTCATCCCATCATCATAGAAGTACTCCTTCTTGTGCCTTGGCCTTGGCCACATTGCACCATGGGGAGCGTACCCCCTAGGATTGTGCAGCATCTCTGCAGGGGTTCTGGTGAGATAAAATGAGCAAGGCTTAGACCCTAAACCCACTATCCTCTTTAGCTTTACACTCTTAACAGACCACTGTTCCTACTAGGCTCCCAGACTTGAGCCCTCTGGACTGGAATAGCTTGGTAGAGATGTCAGGTCATTTCTGTGCTTTCCTCTTGGGGCTGAGCTTCTTCGGCAGGTGGTCAGGGAGGATGGTCAGTTGGCAGGCTCCTGTCCCTGGCCTGTGATGGTTTGGGTGCCTCCTGTTAACCCCAGGGGCAGGCCTCTCTTTCCATCTCCAGCCAGCCCTGCCCCGCTTTCTCAGATAGCCAGATTGTGGATTAACACCGCTGAGGTCACCAGAGGTGGGGGTGGGCATGTGCTTCAGAAGCCCACAAGTCAGCATCGTGGTACTGATCCCTCCACTCATAGAAGCTGGGGGAGTGTTCGGTGGGGAGATCAGGCCTAGGACAGGGAGTTCCTAAACTGGGCTCTGGGTCCCTCCAGGACAGGGTTAGAGAGCAGGCAGACTGGGTTAATTTTTAGTCCACGCAGCAAATATTGTCCTCCCTACTTCAGTACTGGGAATCCAGTCATGTCATGGAAACAGGGCCTTCCCAGAAATTCTGTGCCTTGGGGGAGGGGAGAGGAGGAGCATGGCTGCTTAGCATTTTTTCTTTAATATTGGCAAAGTCCAAATTATTGGTGCCTTGGCCATCAGAAATCTTTCCATTTAAAGACATAGGGGCAGCAGAGACATGCTTTACTCCTTCCCTCCACCCATGTGACTTCAGTGTCCCCATCTGCAAAGTGGGAATGGGAATGGGTAATAGCATGGGGGGGGCCTGGCATGGAGTAAGAGCTCAGTAAATTGGAGTAATGATGAAGATGGAGATGAAGAGCAGCTGGTGCTGGGACTGTGGGGGCCTGTAGGGCAGAGGAACCAAGGTAGGGGACATTCAGAGGAGCTGAGAGGGGTCGGTTGCCTTTGAGGGCCTTTTCCTGCTTTACAGGGATACACCAGGCTACATGCCTTACTGAGGCTGGTGGCTTGGTACAATGGTGGGGGGACACTCTTGAGCCAGACTTTAAAGAAAGGGCCTGGCACCCCACACATGCGGTCTTGCCTTCTCCATCCAGAGTCCAGGAGAAGAAGGAATAGAATTCTTGCAGGGCAGGTGGGTGACCCTCGAGGGCAAGGCCGAAACTTCTGTGTCTGGGTGGTGGGGTCCATCCGGTTCACAGCTTGGGGATGGGACTGCAATTGGGGAAAAATCATGGGGGTGAATTCAGGCAGCAGGAACTTTGCAGCCATTGATAACAAAGCTGTGCCCCCTCTTCTGCCCCTGGGCTGTGGAGCGCAGACCAAGGCTCCCCGGCACCGCAAGGCAGTTGGTTTAGCTCCAGCTGCCTCCAAGCTGGGGCTGGAGGAGAAGACCTCCCTGACCTTGGAAGTTCCACCTCCCAAACAAGCTTTCGGGAGGGGTCTGACTCCAGATTCTGTTCAGAGAAGAACCTGGGGGCCTTGGGACTTCTGCAGAGAGCACTATCAGGATGAACACTGAAAAGTTAATGTTTTCAGAGACCCAGTGCTATAACCCTTATCCCCTAAACCCGTGCCTAGGGGTGGATTCCTGGGGTGGTTCCTCAGTCTGCCAGTTAAGCAAGACTGGGCAAGGAAAAGTTACAGATTAAGTGGAAAGTCAACAAATTTATGTTACAGAGAGACTGGGAAGTCATCATGCCCTGCCTTGAGTCTACGTCTCTGACCCAGGGCAGGGTCAGAGTGCCTGAGTGCATGTGCTTGTGTGTGCGTGGATGAGTGTGTCTGGACACGTGATTGTATGTTTGTGATTCTTGAGGTCTAGCCTGTCTGAGTGTGGGGGCAGATATGGACTTATTCTGTGGACCTGAGTCCCCAGGTCAGTCAGTAAGGCGCTACTCTCCCAATCTGGTGAGTTCTACTCTTAACTTAGATGTGATCTAGGGATCAGTGGCTGGGCCAAGGGGCAACCAACAGTGGGTAGGCCAGCAGCCCTCTGCCTCAGCCTTGCCGAGAAAATCCTGTCTGTATTACATGGGGTCATTCCAACACAAGAGCACAAGCTATGTTTCCGGGCTTACCTTCTACCCCATGCAGCCCTCGGTTTCAGAGGGCTACCCAATTGTCCTCTTTAGAGGTGACCATTCCAAATATCCATGGATGATTCCTTGAGGTGTAATCCTTTGTGAGCTTCCACTCATAGAAGCTCTGTGCTGGAAAGCACAGAGGATCAAGCCTCTGCTCCCTCTCCCTCCGGCTTCCTAAGGCTCCCCCACACCAAGGCTACAAGGCTAGGCATCTCCAGGGTGAGGAGCTCTCTGTTTTCTGAGACAGCCCCTTTCTTCAGAAAACGTACTCCTTGAACTCCCTGAGGCTAGGAACATTCTGTCCATTTACTAAGAGGGACAAGAGTCCCCGTGCAAAGTCATGCTTCCCTTCATGGTTGTGAAAAGAAGGCACACTCCACACTCAGGAAGAATGAAGGCCTTCTGGGTTGGAAAGGTGTCCCCAGAGTCAGTGTCCCGGGCTGTGGCTAAGGACCAGTGATCCACTCCAGCCTTTCACAGGTGGAATGATGAGGTTTTTGCTGGCACCTCAGCTCGGCTTCTGGCCCTCTGCGATGGGGTGCTAATTCTTTTATGTCTTCTCTTCCCTCTTTCTCTCCACTCCCCAGCTCTATCCGGTACCCCTGAAACCTTGTGACAGGTCTTGCTGCAGTGTCTTCTCTTTGGCTGGCTCTCAGGAGCTGGATGTGGAACTGGAGCCCCCTTTCGTGTCTTTTTGGGGATGTCACTCGGGCAGAAGGGTGGCTTGGATGTACCCGCTCCATTCCCTCCTTCCTTTCGACTCCTCTTTCTAAGCCAGCTCTCCACTCGTGACACAATCTTCCATCCTTGGTGACTCAATTTTTATGAATAACCTTCACAAAGACTTTCTGGTGGTCTAAAGTCTTCCTCCTCAGGTTTCCCTTTATCTATGTGCTTCCCTCCTCTTCCCCCAAACTAGAAGAAAAAGAGAAGCACCCCCCCACCCCACCCCACCAGGGTTGGCTAGGCAGAAAAATACCATTTGACCCTGAGGCAGCTCTGGGACTGCTGCCATGCATGGAGGAACCTGCTAACTCCTCAGGAAAAAAATCCTGACGCAAACCAGATGTAACCTCCTGTCCGGCTGCCAACATCTGGAATGCTGGCAGGGGCTCTGCACTCAGGCCTTGAGCGAGCTGCCAAGCCCGAGCATTTCAGAGGTGGCTCTGATGTGCGGAAAGGCCTTCCAGTCCCGGCCTCCTTCTCCAGCTCTGCCCTGCATTCCAGTTTTGGCCGCCTGGAGCACAGTATCATGGGGGGACTTCTGGAGAGGGTTTCTCTGGAGCTCAGATGGCGCCTTCAGGAGATCCAGTGGAGGGATCTCCTGATCCAGATGTCTGTCCACTGCCTTGGCTCTGAGTGACATGACACCTAAGGTCTAGGGATGGGACAGTTAGAGATGGAGGGCTGGAGGAACATGTGCAGCTGTCCTCTTGTCCCTGGGGCCACACAGGTTGTCACTCATACACACCCCCCCACCCCCACACTCACTTTCGCATGCAGGCAGTGGGGAGAGCCTTTGGGGTCACATTTCTCCTCACTCATGGAAAGTCTGATTATGGCCCTCAGGATCCCTCAGAGGCCCTGCCAGACATTTGGAAAGAGCAAGAATGGAGACAGGAAGAGCCAGCTGACTGAGAGGGGGATGTTGGGAGGAGCTGAATGAGGGAGACAAGATCCGGTAGGGGGCCCCCTGATTGCCTCAGACCTCCCTGCAGGGCCCAGGGGACCCTCCTGCCATCTGGGCAGCTGCAGCTGGTGACTCATCTGTGGACTGGACTGGGTGGGGTGAGGGACAAGTCAAGGACTTCAAGAGGAATATTCTCCTGAGGAGGTCCAGGGGAGTCGGGTGGGCTGGGGGGCTGCTTTCATTTCTTCCTGTCTCCCAGGCTCCCTGCTTTTCTCCAGCACCAGGCTGATGAACTCTGTGGAGGGGAGAAAGCAGGTGGGAGGTGGGGCTGGTGTGAAGCCCTGTTCTCCTTCTTTTTTGGGGGGGGATGTACTGGAGATTGAACTCGGGGGCACTCAACCACTGAGCCACATCCCCAGCCCTATTTTGTGTTTTATTTAGAGACAGGGTCTCCCTGAGTTGCTAAGTGTCTCACTGGGTTGCTGAGGCTGGCTTTGAACTCGTGATCCTCTTGTCCCGGCATTCTGAGCCGCTGGGATTACAGGTGTGCGCCACCGCCCCTGGCAAGCCCTGTTCTGTTCTGGTGCTGACTTCTGCCCTTCTTGCCTTGACTGCAGACAAAGATGAAGGTGACCATCCTAACAACAGCTTCAGCCCTTGCAGCGCTCATGACCGCAGGTGCCTGCAAAAGCACTTCGCCAAAATGCGGGACCGGAGCACCAGTGGGGGCAAGATGAAAGTCATCGGGACACCTCGGGAGGAAGTCCGGCCTGTGGTGAGGACCTCTGCCCCACAGATATGCATGTGCATGGACACCACCACCATCACCACCAGATCTGGACTCTGTTCACCCAGCAGGCATTGATATCTACTGTGTGCAAGATGCACTTCAAGAGAGAATCCTTACTCCTTTCTTTGCATTTCCTTCCTGCTCCTCAGTTATAAACATTGGTGTAGCTGAAGCTGAAGTGATAGTTCAATACTGGTATACTTCCTTGTTCTGATTGGTAAGAAGCAGGGTTCCAACCCCCCTGGTGCTTCTTGGATTCCCCACCCCAGACTTCAGTAACTAAAGGGGGAATGCCGGCCAAAGCAGGGGTCCTTGGGACCCTGCTCCAGGGTCTGGCTAATGTCCTTTATGATACATGGTACTGATGGACCTGAACTGGGCCTTACAAGTTATTTATTTATTTAGTTTTTGGGTGCGGGGTATTGAACTCAGGGACACTCAACCACTGAGCCCTATTTTGTATTTTATTTAGAGACAGGGTCTCACTGAGTTGCTTAGCACCTTGCTTTTGCTGAGGCTGGCTTTGAGCTCTGGTTCCCCATGCCTCAGCCTCCCGAACCGCTGGGATTATCCCCCACACCAGGCCACAAGTTTTTAATTCTGTGATTTTTGTCTATCCCTCCTAAGTAGACATTCCCCTGTTCTGACCTCCATAGGTCTCCACAGCTCCATTCCACACCAGGTCCCTTCCTCAATTCACACTCCTCCTTTATAGAAACTCTTTGGCTTGAGATCCTCTCCTCAGTGTCCCTCTCTTCCCCCCACTAATGTCCCCTGAGCCTGAGACCTTGCCTCCACCTCTTCAGGTCCCTCCCAGCTTCCAGGCATTCCAGGCCTTCCGCCCCTGTTTAGTTCTGAGTTCCAGAGCTCTCACTCCTCTCTCCTCTCCTCCCCAGCCCCAGGGCTCCTGCCAGAGCGAGCTGCACCGGGCCCTGGAGCGCCTGGCTGCCTCACAGAGTCGCACCCACGAGGACCTCTTCATCATCCCCATCCCCAACTGTGACCGCAATGGCAACTTCCACCCCAAGCAGGTGGGTCTTGGTTTCCTGGCTCAGCCCTGCCTGAGTTCCAGGGGCATCCTTGGACTCTCTGCAGGATGGTCCTGGGTGGAGATCTTTGGAAGGGGGTCCTCCTCAACCCAAACCCAATCCCTCCACCTTCCTGAAGCCCTATCCCAACCCTGGAGCCTCAGTTCGCTCTTCCCAACCCAGATGAAGAGACAGAGACCCAGAGAGGTATAAAAGGGTCCTGGTTGGCCCGAAATCATTGCACTGAGTTCATAGCACAGATTCTCCCCACTTCCGGGGATGCTTCTGTCATCTCTGGATTCTCTGTCTATGGGGTAGATGTCCTGCCAACCTCTGCTCCAGCCCTCACCCTGCTCTAGTCCTAGGAAGAGGTCTCCCTTGTCACTAATGTCTGATGTTTCACCTGTGCCCAGAAGGGTCCAACTCATAAGGAGTCAGGGAGGACTCCCAGCCCACCCAGCTAAGCGGCAGAACCAACTGGTGCAGCAAGGATGGAGGTGGAGCCAGGGTTAGCAGCCCCCTACAGGCATTTTGGTTGGAAGCAGAGGAGGGAGGGGCAAGAGAGAAGTTGTAAAGGCAGCAGCCTCCATATTCCCTCCTACCCTTGCAGTGTGGGGTCTCTGACGGCTCTCTGGAGGCTAGGATGTCCCTCAGGGTTGCCCTTCTCCAGCCCATCTCTGGCCCATCAACAGGGTAGCACATCTGGACAGAGTGCTAGGGGTGGCCATGCAGCCCTGACCTGGGTCTCCTCCAGCATTTGTGGACATAGACACACATGCCTTTGTGTGAGCTGTGGGCACACATGCCCTCCCACATGCTGTGGACACGTCTACAACCTGGGTTGCCATGTGACCAGCAGAGGCCTTGCTAGGAGGGCAAAGGCTGCTTCTGGGTCTATAAATCCCAGCATGGCATGAGAAGGGCCTTACGTAGTATGTAGTGAGCGGTGGACTAGAGGGAGCTCCCCAGAACCAGTGCCTGGCCCATCTCCAGCCTTTACCCCAACACAAATTCTATCCTTGTCCTTGTTCTGTAAGTTCCTCCACAATTAAAAAACAAAAACCTAATAAAACTAATAAACTACATCCCTGCCCACCCTCCTTTTTAAATTTTTAAGACAGGATCTTGCTAAGTTACTTAAGGCCTTGCTATGTTATTGAGGCTGGCCTTGAACTTGCAATCTTCCTGCCTCAGCCTCCCAATACCCTGCGACTATAGGTGTGCACAACCATGCCTGGACAAGATTTTTTGGTTGTTATTTTTAGCAGTTTTAGGGTTACAAAAAATTGAGTAGAAAGTAGAGTTCCCATATCTTGCCTCCTCCTCGCCCCAGTCTTGCCTATTATTAACATCTTACATTAGTGTGGTCTATTTGATGCAGTTGGTGAGCCAATGTTGATGTATTATTATTAACTGAAGTTTAGAGTTTACATCAGCCTTCACTTTTTGTGTTGTACAATTTTATATCTTTTTCCTTCCTCCAATTTTTATTGCAGTGAAAGTTGTGACTCTTGACCCTTTATCCCAGGCCAATTCTGAGTCAACCTTCATTTGAACTCTAATTCTGACTCTGGACTATACTTTTATCTCCACCAGTGTCTTTTATTTATTTATTTATTTATTTTGGTAGTACTAAGGATTGAACCCAGGGGTGCTTAACCACTGAGCCACATCCCCAGTCCTTTTTGTTTTTTATTTTGAGACAGGGTCTCACTAAATTGCTTAGAGCCTTGATAAGTTGCTGAGGCTGGCCTTGGACTTGTGATCCTCCTGCTGAGCCACTGGGATTACAGGCATGTGCCACTGTGCCTGGCTGGACCCTTCCTTCTTGACCAAGTTCTCTCAGTGAGCTCACAGAACCTGTACTTAGAAAGAGCCTTCACCTTCCGATGCCATCTTGGAGTGGCAACTGTGCGACTTGGGGGCTGGACTGGAATAGGGGCAGGCTGCCTGGAATCATCTGACCCCTCATGCCCTTGTCTTGGCAGTGTCACCCAGCTCTGGATGGGCAGCGCGGCAAGTGCTGGTGTGTGGACCGGAAGACAGGCGTGAAGCTTCCAGGAGGCCTGGAGCCCAAAGGGGAGCTGGACTGCCACCAACTGGCTGACAGCTTCCGAGAGTGACACCTGCTAGCAGGCAGGGGGCTTGGTGCCCCCTACTACCCCGATGCTTGGGGGCTGCAGAGTTGACCTGGAGTGGAGTCTGAGTCTGGGTCCAAACTTTGCCTTTGACCCAGAAGTTTCCCTTGGCGTGTGTACGTGTGTGCGCGTGTGTATGTTTATGGGCACGAGTGTGCCCTTGGGGTAAGCCAGAGCCTGGAGTGTCCTCTTTGAGCTTAGATAGCCCAAGAGGTCTGAGAGTGGCAATGGGGAGCCCCGTTGTGTTTCCAGATCAATCCTGGATTCATTCATGCATTCAGTCATCTAAAAACATTTATTGACCACATATTATGTGCCAGCTGTAGTTTCCAGCCCTGGGTGCCCTTGTTCTGACTTCCTCTAATTGTGGCATATGAGCCATTCCCGTAAAGTGAGCGTAGGCCTGTGGGAGAAGAGAAATCTCTTTCCTAGAGTCAGAGAGAAAGAGAGACGTGTATATTGTCTCTTCCCTTATCTAGTCACAGGGTGGGAGCCAGCTCAAGGACCATGAGACCTAGATCCACACCCAAGGCTTAGGCTTGCCAGGCTCCCCTGCTCTTCTTCCCCACCCCCCACTCCCCATTGTGGGGGAAAGGACCTGGGAGACAAACCTGCTTTTGGGCCTGGGTGTTGTGCCATCTGCTTGATTGCTTGGCAGCTGAGACCCTGTTTTGAGGGAGGGAGAGGGGACAGAGGAAGGCATGCAGGACAGAGGGTTCAGATCAGGCTATGCCTTTGAGCAGTCAGGTGGGAAAAAGGATTGCAAGGTTGGGTTGAGCGTGCCTGATGGATGATGTACGTGTTGGGGGATGAAGGGCTTGCCTGGGGTCTTGTTTCCTATCCTGTTTGTGGTCACAGCTATGAAATCACCAGGGTGACCCCGTCTTTCCAGTGGCTCTGCCTTCCTCCCAACATCTCTTTCCCCTACACCTCCCACAAGTCCCTCTGAGCATTTTCTAGCTTGACTGGAGACTTAGGGACCCGCTGGTCAGCTGGGGTGTCTGTCTTTCTCCTCCCTCCTGCCCCACCCCCACTTTTTTTTTTTTTAACAAAACCAAAAAAAATGTCCAGATAATTGTGTTTGGTTGATTTATTTACTATCAGAGACGTGGATGGACCAGGGGTGGAGAGAGGTGGGCACTGTGGGGTCCCCATTCCTTCCTGCATGGCAGAACACTTGAGAGGACAGTCCTCCCTGAAGAGGCCTGTCTGGGCTCTCAGATTCCTGGTGGGCGGACTGGCTTCTGAAGGGAGGGTGTGTGACCAAGGACAGCCCTGTTGGGACAGAGCTGCCTTCTGGATTAGCTGGTATGTGGAGCTGGGGCATTTCCTAGGGCATGGGGCAGATTGGGTTTGCATCTGGAGTTGATTTATTAATTTACTGTTGCGGGGGGCAGGGGGCACTCCCTGCCTTGGGAAAGGGGCGAGAACTCTGCAGCACATTCCACAGCTCTTTACTGGGGGGTGGTTTTGAGTTTGATTCTGAGGAGCTGGGAATGGAGACATCCTTGACCTGGCTGTGGGCTCTCAGTGCTAGCCCCTGCTTCAGAACTTGTGGCCACGTGGATTCCTGGCCATCTTGCAATACCCCTCCTGCTCCCACACCTCTGTTTGTGTAGGGTTAGGCTGATCTCTCACATGGGGGTCCTTTCCCAGGAGGCCACAGGCAGCCTGGAGACCCTGTGCCATGAGTGCTGCCTGCTGGGGAAAAGAGGGTGTCCTGTCCCTCTCCTCCCCCACTCCGGAGTGCTCCCAGGCTTGTGACTACACTGGCCCCTGACTTCCTTAGCACCTGTGCTACCAGCTTCCTGAGCCCAGGGCTGCTGTCTCCAGCTTTCTAGCAAGTCTAGCTCTGCCTCAGCAGCGCAGCCTGCAGCCGCCTGCAGCCATCTGGTCTCCCAGGCGCCAGGCTGCTGCCAGCAGAAGAAGATAAAGAACAAAGTGGTGTTGAGAGTAGCTCCCTGGGCCGCTGGCCACCCTTCCCAGAGCCCCCTCCTTCTGAGGCCTGGGCCAAGGCATGTTGGGCTAGGAGGTGGTGCAGCCCCAAGATTAAGTTTTAGGTCCTGAGTAGAAGGATCTCTTTCCCTGAAATGTATCTTCCCAACCCCCTTCCCAGTGCTTGAA